CTCATGTTACCTCCCTGCATGCTTAAACCATTCGCTACAAAGTCACTCCTTTCAACATAAAAAAATTTTCAGTTATCAGGATATTCTGCCATGTTCACAAAGAAATGTAGTCAGCACTTTCCCCTCGCTATAGTGTCTGTATTCCTTTTATGATCCCATACGTTTCTGCTGTATGGGCTGCATCCAAAATTTGTAACTTCCCCAAGGCCTTTTGTCTGAGTCAAATGTGCTCCTGTTTTATGACATACTCAGTAAACAAAAATTAAAACACGTGTCTAACTCAGTGGAAGAGAGGCAAGAAAGAAAGATATAAACTGAAGCAAGATGGAGTTCAATGAAATATTTTAGAAATAGGAATATTTTTGCATAAAGTAAGCCCAGGGTAACAATAAAACCATCAGGAAACAAGAGCAATAGAGGTGAGAAAGAGGGAGGGACTGGTGATGAGAAAACAGTGTTTAAAGTCCCATCTGACACAATACCAAGTGTTGGTGAGCATTTGGAGCATGTGGAGCACAGGTGAAACTCATATGACCACTTTGGAAAGCAGTTCATCATTATTTATAAAAGCTGAACCTATGCATACCCAGTAATCCAGCAATTCCACTCCCAGCAGAAAAGCTGTTGAGGGCATATGTGCTCCAAGGATTATATCAGTAATGTTCATAGCAGCATTACTTGGAATAGCCAAGACCGAAAACTACTCCAATTTCAACAGCAGTATGTGTAATACAATGAAATATTATACAGCAATGTAAAAAGACAAACTACAGCTACACGCAACACCATATCTAAATGTCACAAACATAATGTTGAGCCAAATCAACGAGACACAAAATAATACATATTATATGCTCCCGTGTATATAAAATTCAAAAACAGGCAAAAATAAACTAGTATTAGATGTCAGGGTAGTGGATCTTTGGAAAGGAAGGTGGGGGGTAGCAGGTGGGGAGGCTCACAAAAGGCAGGAGCACTTCAGAGGTGCTAGGAACATTCTACTTCTTGATCTGGATGACAGTTCATGAGTGTTCACTTTCTGATAATTCATTAAGCTCTTCACTTATGTTTTGTGTGTATTTCTGTATATGTGATGTATTTCACCATAAGTAAAAAATAAAAAGGAATCCCAGTCTGGCACATTCCCACCAAAGAAAGGCTGGAAAGAAATAAGACTGAGATACTTGTGCCAGGATGCAGATGATGATGGCAAAGGGCAGCCAACATCTCAGTGACTGAAACCCGGCAAGTCTGAGATCATCTGAAAAGATTAAGAAATTTAGGACTGGTAAGAAATTGAATCCCCTGGAAGAACCGCCCTAGATGGAAACAAAGGTGCACTAGGTATCATCATCTCTCTTACCAAATTTGGCATTAACCTATACTTTTGATCTAAATTTCAGAAGCACACATTGATTCCTGCAATTTGCAAAGAGCTCAAATTTTTCTGTCATTCTGATTTCCTTTATGGGCAATCATGGAGGTGTAGGGAGGCATGAGAGATCATTCGATCCTCTACCATCCCTGACAAATGAGCAAATGGGCATAAATACTATCTGGAAGTTCTCACTGCAAATGAATTCTGAAATGCTCCTCAGTTACTCATTCTAGTATAAACAACCTTGACTACCGGAGAGCCTCTCCCTTAACTAAGCTCATCTCACATGCTCCACTCCAAACTCACGTCCTCTCCCACACCCAGACCACTGTATATGATGAAAAAAAAAAATCTCAAAGAACAAGCTAAAGAATTACCAAACATTTCCTCAGCTCTTCTTGGAGTTAAATTATCTTACTTCCTTATTCTTTCTTCCTTTAATCACCTTCACTGCTCTCTTCCGAACCTTCTCATGAGCAAGACATAAAACTGATTAAAATGTTTCAGTAAGATTTTAACAGGCTAAATAAAATAGTACCTTAAAACTTCTACATGATATAGAACTATTGTTCTTATTACATTTTAGAAATAAGAAGGTAATTTCAAAAACCATAGCATTAAACCCACAAGTCCAAAAACAAATAAGGTTAAAAGACACCATATAGCCCTAGTTTTGATCCCAAACCTCACCTCAAATTCTAAGGTATTGCTCAAATATGAGAGATTTAATTAGCATGTGTTCAGTAGGGTAGGTAGAAGGCCCAGAAAACAATTCCACGTATCTGCAATGCCTTGCAAAACACCACCTACCAACCAGCCTGAGTCACAACTACAAATCAACATTCTTTTAGATTAATGGTACTCTGACTCTCACAAAAAGAGACTTAGACAGTCTTCGACCTCAACTGTGTCTTCAATGCTGCCTAACAATCCCATAACGCTGCCTTAGCCCTTTGTATCCTTTTTTCCAGAATGGCTATCTCAGGACTCCACTTTCCTCATACTTCTCATTGGCCCCTTTATGCTCAGCAGACAACTTGGCATCCCAGCTCCCAGGACAGAAAAAATTATTTGACCAGAATTCCCTAAACATTTTTTCTCCAGTTTACTTTTTCTTCTTAAAGTTCCACTGAATGAAGAGATTGGAAGTTCCACAGAAAGAAAATACACTTTAAGTGGTCCTGGAAACCTTCAAAATTACCTCCAACCTTAAACTGTATCCTTTCCTCTACATATATTATTTCATGTTTTACCTCTGTTACAACAAAAACAGAGTCCCTCACCCCACAGTGAACCCATGCACCGTGTGGTGGATGCCACCCTCTCCTACCTTATCAGAGACCTTGCCCTGCCCACTCTCTCCCTACTTTTCACTCTTTTCAGTCTTTTGCTCTCTACTCGCCTCCTCACATCAGGACTTTGCTGCTGTTGCTTTTCATTCTCTTAATGGTGTCATTTTATGTTGAAACCACTTCAAACTTACAGAAAAGTCATAACAATGATACAACAAACCCCTGTATATCCTTCACCCACAGAGCCCTTTCAAGTTTCATGGAGCCCCAATAACATTATAATAAAATAGTCTCTTTCAATGTGGAACAGTTCCTCAGTCTTTCCTTGAAATTTGTGAAGATTATAATAGATCGAAGATTGAAGGAGATTTAAAGATTTTAGCAAATGGGAATAGTCTGATGCTTCCTCGTAATTAGATCCAGGTCATCTGTTTTTGGCAGCATGAAGAGAAGTGATGCTGTGTTCTTCTTGTGGTAGCTTATCGAGTGGACACAGTGTCACTTTGTTTCATTGGTGATGATAATCACTTAATTATGATAGTCCACTAGGTTTCTCCACTGTATTTTTTCTCCATTAAAATTATTAAATACAGTCATGCACTGCATATTGACCTTTCAGTCAATATCGGACTGCATATAAGACAGCGGTCCCATAAGATTATAATGGAGCTAAAAAATTCCTGTTGCCTAGTGGCATCATAGCCGTCACAACATCGTAGTGCAACACATTACTCACATGTTTGTGGTGACGCTGGTATGAACAAACCAACTGCAGAATATGTTGAGGAGGAGCACTTAGCTTACCCACAGGGTGACCCTCTCAAAGGTAACTCAGACCTTTTAGGATAGAAAGCCAAGCATTTGACACATCAGGCGCATTAGTACATTTCTGTTGCTTATAACAAAACTGGAACTGGGTAACTTGTAAGAAAATGAAATTTGTTGCTTATAGTTTCAGAGTCTGGGAAGTCCAAAGTCCTGGGAACACATGTGGTGAAAGCCTTGTTGGTGGCAACAGTGATACAGGGGTCTCACATGGCAGAATGGCAGAATGGCAGAGCAGAGAGATAGCTAACTTCTCACTCCTTCTCCCTTTAAAGTCCTCAGAACCATACCCACAACCACCATTAAACCATCAATTTATGAATCCACTTACTGGGACATGGTCCTCACAATCTAATCACCTCTTCAAGGCCCACCCATCAATTACCATATTAGGATCCCTCATTCTCTTAACACTGTTACATGGGGGTTGAATTTCTAATACATGGACTTGGGAGACACAATTTAATCCACAGCATTAGGTCTCACCCCAAGTGAAATGTCTGTTGTCTACTTTGGAATTCTTGCATTTTCAAATGATTCCTGGCCATCCCCATAGCAAAATAAGAATAATAGCGAATGCTTTAGCCCTTTAGACAGGTCCAGACATGTTCTCCCTGTATATACTGTGCACGTGTGCATGTGCGCACACACACACACACACACACACACATTCGCAGTGTCTCAGAAAATACATAGCATGATTGAAAAAAGAAAAATAGGAAATGAGCTCCTGAAGGACATATCCCCAAAGCCAGCATGGTGTCCGGCCCACAGGTGAGGTAATACCTAACGTAAGAGGTGTTATAACAGTGCAATCTCCAGCCAACTATGAACAACCAAAGTCTGATGTCAGGGGAAGAAGAAAATGTAAAAGAGAATTAATATCATTACTACGTACTATATACTATGACTGTCATAAGCCAGATTGAAGCTACCTCATTTACTGTCCCCATTTTACACATTTAAAAAATGGCATTGAAGGATTAAGTAAGTAGCCTATAGCTAATATATAACAAAGTGCAGTTCCTTACAGTTGCTACTGCTGTATCCCAAACTGAGCAGGACTGAAAAATTAGTAGAAGTATGCTATTTGGAAAAATGAAGATAAATGGCAGAGAAATAAGTAAAAGTTAAAAATTTTAAAAGTTGAAAAATTTCTGGGAAGTAAAAAGTAGGAATAAAAAGGGCTGGGCAAGGGATCCTATTTTTTGAATAATCCTTCTGGTAATATTTGAGCTTTAAAATTATACATACGTATTACTTTGATGTAAAGTACAATTAAAAAGTACAGCAGGAGACTATTAACAAAATAATATGTAAAGTCTCATCCATTTAAAAATATAAATACACACACATACAGAAGCTTTTGAGTGCTGTTACCAGAGATTATCTCTGAGTGGTGGGGTTATAAGAGTTTTGCTGGTTTCTTCTTTTCCTACAAAGATCTGCATTGCTATTTTAACAAATAGAATTTTTTCACAAAATATTTTGAAGTACTTACTTACCTTAGCTGATTTTTCGATATTTAAGCCTCCATCCAGTTCAAAAAGAATTGTCATGTTGTACCCAGTCTGATTTCCATGTCCATGAGGCCACCAAGTTTCTACAGTAACATTCTTTTAAAAAATAAGTCATTCTAAGTAATGTGGTTTATTTTCAGCAAAATTATATGATTCAGAGCATCATTTAAATTTCTCATATAATCAAACACAGAAACTCTAGGTTCTAAAACAATACAAATCTCCCTATGTATGCTATGCTAAATCATACCAATCCAAAGATAATATTTTAAAATCCACATGCTAATAGTTTAGCATGAATTAATACTCCAAAAGAGGGCCGGCCCGTGGCTCACTCGGGAGAGTGTGGTGCTGATAACACCAAGGCCCCGGGTTCGGATCCCATATAGGGATGGTCGGTTTGCTCACTGGCTGAGCGTGGTGCTGACAACACCAAGTCGAGGGTTAAGATCCCCTTACCGGTCATCTTTTAATAAAAAAATAAAAATAAAAAAAATACTCTAAAAGAGAAAGGGAAAAACAGAGTAACATGTGTTCAGAAAAACAAATCTTATCTCTAACACTTGAGCTTACCATTTATTCTACATTCTACAGACTTAGAATTGGACTTTGAAGTTAACTCTTTTTTCAAGGCTAGCACTGTAAATCATTTTGAGTTCTTACTTTATCTGAACCAGTTACTGAATATTATTTTGCTCTATCCTTTTCAGCTCACAATTATCAATTAGAGAAATAGAAAAAGGAAAAAGAAATGGTAAAATCCATTCCACCTCTACCTATGAAAGATCATGAGTTTAGAATTAGAATTCTGCATGTAGAATAAGCACCAATATTCAAAATAATTGACAGATACCAAAAATAATCACTACTATTTAAATGTTATGCATAGAATGCATTTTGGGTTCAGTATTTTTGCAAATACTGTAGAAAAAAATCAAAATAGAACTTACTTCTTGAAAGAAAAGGTTGCCAAATTAATCACTTATTCTCCATTTTCTTAATGTTAAAATTTGGGAAAATCATTCCTAAGCTCATACTCACATAAAATATATAAGAGGTTAAAAATAGAGAAGAAAATGGAAAAAAAAAAACTAAATGGAGAAAGTAGATTTTTCTTTCATACTCAGCCCCTTCTTTCTAACCATTTCTTTTGAACAGGTATTGCTTTTCATCCAGTGCTTCTCAGGAAGTACCACTATTCACCTTGTTAATTTTCACAAATAGCTCAACAATCCCTTCCCCAGGCTGAAGTTTAATGTTGTATGTCTGCTGTGTTTGCAATTTAGGGATGGCTACAATCACTTGGCCACCAACTGGCTTTGAGCTGACAACATCAAAAGAAGATTCTATTTCAAGATTCCACTCCTGGGCAGTGTTATCTAAAGCATAAAGAGAAAAAGAAAAAAAAAAAAAAAATATATATATATATAAAATATGCCAAGCATTATCCCTGCACTCTTCAGGATCCATCAAAGACCAAAGCAGCTTCTACACCTGTAAGTGTTCCCCAATGTTATTATAATAAAAAGTTCAGTAAAAATTTTCTTTTAATCTTCAGAGTTTAATCCTTCATTCTGAAGAAGAATAACTAAAATTATATTTTTATATAGACTTCCACTCGAAAAGTGTTATGATTATAATTCATAATAACTTTTTAAATAGGGAACAAACAGAAAAATGACAAATGATAACATAAATTTTCCAAGAATGATGCACACTTGTTCCTTTTATAAAGTAAAAATACTGAGGGTTTTAAAGCTATTTAATAAGGTATACATTTATATATATTAGAATTAATCAAATGCAAAACATAGAGATATATTTTAAATGTAGATAATTCATAGAAGAACTATTTACTGAAAACCTCCTATGTGCGGTGTACTTTGCTAAGTAATGGGAATTAAATGGTGACCAGGATAAACATGGCCCCTGCCCACATGAACTAAGAGTCTATGCAGACAAGTACAAAAGCGTGATAATATCAGGATGAGAGAAATAAAATGTTCTGAGAAATATACATAGGAAGTAAGGAAGCACGTCTTACCAACAGAGGGTTAAGGAAGGCTTTCATTAGAAAGCAGCATCTAGCTGAGACCAAAGGATGCTTTAGCTAAGTGCAGAAGAAGATGACAAGTATTCTGGGCACAGGGAAGAGTGTGAAAGCCCATGAATGAGAAAGAACAACGCTGTAACAAGGACTTTGGCAATGACGGATCTGGTGAGGGGGGCTTGGTATGACTGAAGAGGTAACCAGGGTCCAGATCATGCTGGGTCTCTTAGGACAGGTGAGAAGTTTGGCAATTCCACCCTAGATTAATGGGGAGTCATTTAAGATTTTTCATCAAAGGGCATAACATGATCTGATTTGCATTTTATAAAAATCGCTAGGGGCCCCAGCACAGTGATATGCCAGTATGCATATGGAGGAACCAGAGTGACACAAAGTCTCTGTCTGTGCAAAAAGCAGTAGAAAGTGCCACTTGGAAAATCCAGGAATAGAGAGGAGGCAAAGACAGTGGTGTTCAGAAGGAAGAGGGTAGAAGACTGAAAAGGAAACTTACAGGGAAAAAAGTAAGATGAGGGAGCTGCCATGAGGAATGTGACTTTGGGTGTGGAGTTTGGGGACAGGGCAGAATGTTTCAAGAGGGTTTGGAAGAACAGTTATGTATTATGTGCAGTATAACCCCTTCCTCCCACTCCCGTTAAATTTACATTGTCAGTTTAATGTCTCTGGAATTGGGTTTGTGCTTCATTTCGATTTTTAAATATGGCGGTGCTGAGATATGATTTGGGCAAGAGCTGGGTGGAAAAACAGAGTCTTTCTTTTTAGATTACACAGAAGAAACAGGGGTTGAGGACCCTAATAGGTGTGAGAGCCAGCAACGAAGGTTCTTATTCTTTACCACTACAGAAAGGAAGGAGAAGAGCAGTGGCTAGTGCAGATGCACTTAAGTTTGTATGATTCATGCCAAGACATGGAGGGAGTTTCTGTTGAGTGGGTTCTATTTTTCTCTCTGAAGAAGGGGAGGAAGAATGTTATAGGCTGAGAAATATCTTAGGGATCCTTCTTCCACAAATAACGAGGGGATTGATAATCATGGCTTTGCTGCAAAAGAAAGAAAAATGGGTTTGTATACTGATCAGTGACCAAAGACACTGTAACTGGCATTGCTTCCAACTGTAGGACCACACCAGGCCCATTCTAAAGAACAGCTCATCATTTGCATCTCTCATCAGCCAAAAGTCTAGATGGATTTTATGCATCCTGAAGTAAAATTAATCCCAGACTGAAGAACTACTTTTATTTATTAAATGATTCATTCTGAGAAACACTAGTCAGTGAGCCCTGAATTCAGTTTGTTTTGATCTAGCCAATTTTGCAGCTTATCCACCCATAGCCTCCTGGTTTTGAATCTATCAGCTGATAGATCACCTAGTCTACTCTCTCAACAGTGTTTGATTCCCTCTACACAACAGGTTGGCAAACTATGGTACATGGGACAAATCTGACCCACCTCTTTTTATAAAGTGTTTTTTGTTTTAATAAATAAAGCTTTGTTGGAGCACAGCTGCTAGGGACTGAATTATGCCCCTCTCCTCCCAAATTCGTATGTTCAAGCCATAAGCTTCAGGTCTTTACAAGGTAATTAAGGTTAAATGAGTTCATGAGGGTGGGGCAATAATCTAATAGGACTGTAGCCTTAGGAGAGGAAGAGAGATATCTCTCTCACTCTCTCCACCTTTTGAGAACACAGCAAGAAGGTGGCTGTCTGCAAGCCAGGAAGGAAGCCCTCATCAGAAACTCAATCAAACAGCACCTTGATCTTGGACTTCCCAATCCCCAGAACTGCAAGAAATAAATTTATTATTTAAGCCACACTGTGTATGGCATTTTGTTAGGGGAGTCCGAGCAGACTAATACAGCAGACACGCTCATTTGTTTATGTGTTGTCTTTGGTCGTCTTTGTACTACCACAGCAGAGTCAAATAGTTGCAACAGATGCCATACAGCCCCAAAGCCTAAACTATTCACTATGTGAATTTTTACAGAAAAAGTTTGCTGATCTCTGCCCTAGAATATTCCTTATAAAGGCCATTTCAACTAGAACATTTTTTTTTAAACATCTCCAATGACAAAGCTCTGCCTCACCAAACAGCCTTCCCATTTTTGTAGCTAGCTTTGGCTACTACAAAGTCCCTCTTTCTGTGGATTTAAAATCCACTTCTCTTTCATTTCCTCCTAACAATTTTAGTTCTGCCCTCTGGGCACCTCCTACGAACCAAGCAGCTCCTTTGCTGTTTCCTGTCACTTCCTCTTCAGCAGGAGAATCAGCTGTTAGTGACGCCTCTGGAGGGAAGACAGACAGCGCAATCCTCAAAGAGCATTGGCAAAGCCCCCCAGTTTCTTTTTCTCTGAATATGGAAGGTTCTCAAGCAAGCCAGCTCCCCTCTGGAGCACATCCTGTTAACTCCCTTGGGCACTGCTAAATGAAAAAACTAAGGCTGTAGAATTAAAAACCCAATATTAAGATTTATGAGCCTACAATATCATCCCCAGTTACACTATACCAACATATTTTTACCCTCTCCTCTTCTTCCAAATGAAGTAAAGCCCTTCCCTCCTGTATCATGTGGAAAATTAAGCAGTTTAGGTTTACAAATCACAAAGTCTTAAATAATCAGTAGTTTTCCTGATACTACTTGGTCACTTCTTTTCATCTTCCAGTTTTAAAATTTATAATCCTAGTTCTAGTTAAAGAGAACCCCAGCTGATAAATTAAGACCCATTTCTAGAATACAGCTTCCTGTCATATTGCTCCTAGCATTAACAAGTTACCATTTCCTAAAGAATACCTATCATCCCCAGCTCCCTGAAAGGGAATGCAAGATAATTTCAAAAAGAACAAAGGACCGGGGTTAGGGTAGGAAAGAAGGACTGTTACCTCATCCAGAATCTCCTACAGAGCTCATTCTTCCCAATTACACCAACTTTTACATCCTCTCCTCACACTGCCCTGACTGAACAACTCTAGGCTCAAGCATGACCAGAACTCTTCATTAAAACAGGTGCACAGGCAAGGCTGACCAGCCCTCTCTACAATTCAGGCTTCCCTGGCCTGAAGGCTCAGTGCTGTCCTTGCTGATGTCCTGTGCCTCTACAGAAGAGACTATGGTCTATAATTTGTTCATATAGCATCACCAGAAGGCAACCCAGAGGATGGCAGAGAATGTGGTTCTGGCCACTGACTCGTTTTCCAGTTTTCCCAGAGCTGACTCAGCGAGGGATCTTGAAAACAAACAAATAAAAAAAAAACCCACCATGTGTCTGCCCTGGATGGGATTTTGTAGAAAGGGGAAGCCACTACATAGCCCAGATTAATGTCTCTGCTGCTCCTTCATTCAAAGGATCATCAAGACAACTACACTTTGTGTGGACGTGTCCAATACGTTAACCTTTAAAATCCTCTAAAAAATGCCAGCTTTTTTTTATATTCATACCTCATATTTTTATATTCATACTTTACTTCCTTGTAAAGATGTGGTTGGAAAAAAAGAGAAAACGAAAGAAAGAAAAAAGCTTTATTCAGTTGTCTGGGAGAAAAAACTGTAAGAGACATGGAAAATAGAAACATAAGAAGATGGCTGAGTTAATCATTCACGTGTGTCGATAAGTACCGGGAAGTCATATCCTCAAACTATACCATAGCCTTGGTTTGATTGATTGTAATAAAATCTCAAGTATCAATGTCTGCATCTAATCACATGATGTGTAGCTTCAAGAAAAATTGGGTCCTTCCACACTTACACCCTCGCTAAGTTGTAAAAAGAACCACGGAGCAGAAGAACCTTGGAGAACCCCCAATCGCTTTGTGGGTGAGGTTCCTGAGGCCCCAGTTTCAGGCACTGCTCAAGATCTCCTCAGCCAATGGACAGGACGAGGGCCCAGGTTTCCTGACACTGGTGCTCTCTACTTTCTGTGTGGCTCTCACGGAAGCACCTGACAAAAAGAATGACACTAGCAAGCACACACTGATTGAAACGTATATATGAACAATGAGGAAAAGCAAAGGTACTTATTGCCTTTCAGAGTCTTAAGTCCAACTATCAAATACATTCAATGTGAAACAAAGCATCTGGGGGACACTGCAACAATGAAATATTAGCCTCTTAATACAAGGATCTTTGTAAAAAAAGAAAGAACACAGCAATCTAAAAACAGAGAATGGGTCTGACCCTCCACTAAATGTGTAATTACATGGTGCCGCAGTTCCTCCACTTGTCAAAATACCGTCTTTGTAACCCGAACTACCTGACAAGGGCATGCAAAGAGTTATATGAGCATTTCTGTCAAACACGTGAAATATATTTCTTGAGTAATTACTGTATATAAACCTTGACAGGCACTATAAATTATACCCCAATCCAAAAAAAAAAGAAGGCAAAGATGTCTCCAACTCTGAGAACGTACTTAGAGAAACAAAATTTACCCAAAGGTCACAGTTAAGAATATAGGTTGGTATCGGTTGGGGGAGGGAGTGTCAAGGACCAGCAGGGAAATGGAAGCTCAGAGGCAGACGACACTCAGGTCGACATGAAATGGATCTGTAGACGTCGGTAGACTGCTTGTGTGAGAAGAAAATAATACTTCATCTCACTGAGGAAAAGAAGCTATCCAAAGAGAGCTGCTTTGATTAGCTGTGCCCTGCTGATCTCCTCCCAGCTCCCCCTTCTGCCTGCTGGCTCCTTGCTGCAAGAAAAACTGCAGGCAAGGAAAAACTGCAGTTAAAAGTAGTCCCCCGCCCCCCCAAAAAAGGTAGTCCTGTGCATTTGAAGAAACAGTAATGCAACCAAGCTGAAATGACAGAGCCACGGAATGTGTAAATTAGAAGGTAAGATATTTTCCTGTACTAGTAGAATCATAGCACAGACTGAAGCAGCTGCTTTTCAAGGAGCTAACAGTTGCACTAGCCAAAAAGGCAGGCTCACGGTTAGTTACAACAGCTGTTTTTCCCCCTTCTTCACCAAGCAGCAAGACCTCCTTGCTTGCTAGGCAGGACAAAAATCCTCAAAAATGAAACCAAGGCAAAAAGACCCAAAGCAAAATATCCTCTCTTATCTCCCCTGCCTCCTGCCACCCAAAACAAGTTAATAAGTTTCAGAGAAGAAAATTTACCTAAGCAACAAGGACCCTAAGCAGAGGCAAGATAATTCAAGCAACCTAAATACTTACAAAGATATTTTCAAGGGTGAATACTATTATTTTATGGGTAAAGTAGTTCAAAGATGAATGAAAAAGTGACTCAAATAAATGCTTGAGAAAAATGAATGCATGTTTATCAAATAAGGCTCTAAGCAAGGTTGACAAATCTTTGCTGTATCTTCATATTATATTCTCCGTACTAAGCTGTAAGCAAAGGGCAGCAATGCCCTTCAATAGAGGCCTCTTCTGGGCAGGCCAGGGACTAGCTGAGAGCTAGACTCAGTCCTCCAGCTCAAAGGCTAGGTCATCCATAATGAGCAAGGGATGCCTTAGGCTGAGGCAGTAAGTAAATCTGGATAGGGTGGGGGAAGGAGCTATGAGCTGGTGCAAGTGACCCAAGCACAAGCCCAAGATCCACGGCTCACCTCAGCTCAGGAAGAGGAGGTATGAAAGCAACGGAATTTGCAGGTTGAAAACATTGCTATATTAGTTTTTTCTAACTGTGGTAACAAAAGATTGAACAGTGTAGTGTTTCAACAGAATATACTTATTACAAACTTAACTTAATATGTTTATATAACCTTATGAAAAGGTCATAAAATTAAGCAATCATTCCTCCCTAATGAATTTATGATCCAATGTGAACAATTCACATCAGGTTATGAATATGAAAAACCTAGCATAGAGATGAGGAATGAATGAATAATATGTCTGTCTCTGTCTCTCTCTGATCTCTTTTTGTCTCTTTCTCTCTCTCTGTTTCTGTCTCTCTCTCACACACACACACACACATACACCACCACCACCACCATCACTACACCCCCTAGAGCCTGCACTTTTGGCCAGATCATTGGTTTATAAATGTCCTAATCTTGGGAATTGAGGCATCCACCCTTACCAGTTGCCTTCTCCCCATCTCCCCTCCCTGCATACCTCAGTAACCCAAATCGAGCCCAGATTGCCCCTCCCTCTACCCCCCATGGCAGATGGGGTCAGTCCCCTCCACCCCAAGGACAAAGAACAGTAGAGACTTGTGTGGTTTCCACACCCTGGTAAAAAACATCTGAGCATCCCTCTTCAGCACTAGGGTCAATCTTACACTTTTTAAAATACTGAAAGCATGGATGTCCTACAATAGTTTCTGCTATTTAAAACCTGATTAGAATATTCAGGGCCAAGGATGAATCATTCAAATAAATATTTGCTAATCGGTGTTTAAAGAAAGTCATCCCCAATGAATTGGTATTTCTTAATACCTACATAAATCACAGGAGACTTAGAGATAAACATCAGTAACTCCTGTTTTCCTTTGACCTCAATGTTTTTTTTCAAATATTAATTTGTTTTTATTATTTATGATCTTAAACATTAAAAATATGTGAAAATCATTTAGGAAGCTGAAGTTGGGGCAAAATCAAATGACCACAGAATATTGAAAAGTGCAAAGGTTTAGAAACCGTTGTTGTAAGGTCTAAGAATACAGAAAAAATATATATATATATATTTATACATATATAAAGTATATACATATATAAAGTTAATTCACAGAAACTTCAAGTTAATTTTTTAAAGTCTTATACCCTTCTTTCTGTCATATTATACACACCTAAGTGGGGAACTGTGGTTGGTCATTTGATCTTCAGCGGTAAACTCATGAATTTTAAATTAGAAATAAATTGAACATTTAAAAAAGCAAAAAGATTATCTCTTTCTAGCCTTAACAGAAAGTTCCCCATAAACAAATTAGTTTAGGCTTTCATATTGAGTTGGCTGAAATTACTAGATTAGTTTGCTTTAATAACTATTGTCTCCCTATACTACATATATAATAGAGGCTCAATATTGAAATTTTGAAAAGACAAGTAAGCAGAAGAATAAAATGCAAACCATCTGTAATACTACCACAGAGATAGCCATTGTTTGCAATAGTTGTGACCAACCTCATTTCACACTTAAATGTTAAAAATGACTACATTTGATTTAAATAAAAATTACATGTATCTATTTTTTATTATGAATTAATGTTTTTTATTTCCAGTAACTCTCATAGTTCCTGCCTCACAGTTTATGCCAAATAAATGCATAAAAATATTCAGGCTATGTTAACTTATTTTTTTTCTTTTTTAACTTTTTTTTACATTAACTTATTGATATTATTTTAAATATCTATTGGTTTCAGTGATAATTGCTGCCTTTCAGAGAAAAACTAAAAAAAAAAAACTGAAAAAATTTCTAAAAGTAGTTCCTCTCCTAATGCTTTCATAAGTTTATGCTTCAATTCTCTTTATTACAGCAAATAACCAAATTGATAGCTATAAAATTAATTGGAAATATAGGAGTTAACTGCTTTATGCATACAAGGCACATCTTCTGAGCAGGAAACATATTTTTCTCTATGTTAAGTACAAAATACATTGCAGTCATAAAACTTCAAAAATATAGTTGATACGGGGAATTGATTACACTGAATCTAAATTGAATTTTAAGCATCATTTAAATTGATTTAACTCAAATAAAATTGACCCAGTGACTAGTGACTAATAAATTGAACTCCAATGACTCATATCAGGAAGAAATGTTTAGCTTTATAGTCAAAGTTTTAAATTAAACTAGAGTGGTGTTATTTAAAATTCTTTCCCATATCAGGGTACCTGGAACTTAACAGTATTTTTTGCAAACTACATAAAACCGGATTAAGTTTTAAAATAATTAAATAAGTAACTCTTTGCTAAATCAGACCCCTTCTTATATTAGACTCTATTATATATACCTGAGAAAACTTATGGGTCAGGATAGGAGATGAAGGGAGAATGAACCGTTATTTGATTTTAGTGGCAAAAATCCTCAGTTTGGGTTACACCTCAAAAGAATAGTTTGAGAAGTACTAAACAAAAGAATGTGCAATTTAAATTAGATCTTTTAGTGCCTTTTTAACGTTTAAAAATAAAAGCAGCAAAAAATCATATAAGCAGTCCCAAATAACCTCCGCAATTACCAACCCTCTCTTACTGGCTTTCCATCTAGATCAGCAGGGCCTGAGGTAGAACTTTCACACTGACACACCAACATTCTTTCTTACTGATTCCATCTGGGCAGGCCTCCATGTAATTAGACTCAGCATCACACGCTATCATGTAAGATCCCACTTGCCTCCACCTTCACCTTGATTCCCTAACTTCGCGAATCCTCACTGAACTTTGATTTTCTGAACTACTTTGGCTCGCATGCTGGAACACTATTACATAATCTTTGTTTGGTAATTGTTTATCACTTCCTTCCCCACCTCAACCAATGTGCGGCACCTCAGGGAAGACCGTACACACTCAATTTCTCTTCTATGCTGAACAGACACAGGACTGAGCAAAGAACTCAGTATTTAACCAGCTTTTAACTGATTCATTGCCATCTGTGAGATTTCTGAGGTTTTATTTCAATGCTCCTTGATAGTGAGTAGTTCCTTCAACTGAAAAAGTAACATTCTTCACCTTATTAGACTTTCATTATGCCTTGTTTACCTTCCAGTTTATTTTCAACTCCTACCACGGCCTGTGCATCAGGGCCCTCACCGGAGTGCTCTTATAGTTATGGAGAAAATGCACAGGGATAGAAAGTCAGTCTAATGATTTGAGCAAACCAAGAACTCGACACCAAAAGTGACTACAGAGGCAGCAAAAAGGAATACAAGCTGGCATGCCCTATTTTTTGAAGAAAGAATACTTAGTTCAGGAAAACTTAAAGCTATTCTTTCTCTAGTTTTCTTTCTTTTCTTTTTCTTTTTCTTTTTCTTTTTTTTTTTTTTTTTTTTGGAAAACATGCTAAATATCTACCTCCCTACCTGTTTTATTTTGTAAATTTTCATGACAAATCACTGTCTATTTTTCACTTTTGTAAATTAAATGTACCACAAAGTTAAAAAAAAAACCATCTCTAAAAAATATATCTATATATTCAATTTATAAACCCAATTTTTATAACAAGAAGATGCAAAAGTACAAACCAGAAATAATGTCTCTTAGCTTACCATATATTGGGTAAAATGTGAAATAGTTCAGATGACAAATATTATAGGCTTCAATTCTAACATCTCTCCAGATTCCCTGGGTGGGAAAGGAAGGCCCCCAGTCCCAACTAAAGGAACACTGCTCCTGTAATTTTAAGAAAAAAAAAGAATATACATTCTGATTACCATGAAATGTAAATATCAAGAAAAACATTTTCTTTTAAAATATTATGTATGTGTGTTTGCTAGGGCTGCCATAACAAAATACCACAGACTGGGTGGCTTAAACAACAGAAATTTATTTTCTCACAGTTCTGGAGGCTAAAAGTCCTAGAGAAGGTGTTGGAGGGTTTGATTTTTCTGAGGTCTCTCTCCTTGGCTTGCAGATGGCCACCTTCTCATTGTGTCCACACATGGTCTTTTCTGTGCTCAAGCATCCCTGGCGTCTCTCTCTGTTGTCCAGATTTCCTCTTCTAACAAGAACACCAGTCACCCTAACGTCTCATTCTAACTTAATCACCTCTTTGAAGACCTTATCTCCACATACAGTTATATTCTGAGGTACTGGGGCTTAGGACTTTGACATATGAATTTGGGGGACACAATTCAGCCCATAACAATGTGTGTGTGCATGCGCGTGCACACACATGCCATCCCCCAAAACGTACAGCCTCTAAGATGGCCCATGCTGATCCCCTCTTGCTATTTATGCCCTTGTGTAATCCCCTCCTCTTGAATATGGGTTGGACCTAGTGAATCACTCTAACTAACAGAATATTGCAGAGGTGATGTCACTTCCAAAATTAGGTTACAAAAGACAGCCTTCTGTTTTGGGCACTCTCTTGGCCAAGAGGGAAGTCTGCTGCTGTGTCATGGGGCAGCTCTACGTAGAGACTCATATGAGTGAGCTCGGAATGCAACTTGAGGCCTGCCAATAACCACCAGTGAGCTTAGAAACACACTTCAGCCCTAGTCAGTCTCTGAGATGGCTGCAGCCCTGGCCGACAGCTTGACTGTAACCTTATGAGAGAGCTTGAGCCAGAGGCACCCAGCTAAGCCACACTTGGATTTCTCCCTGACAGACACAACGATAATAAATGTTGTTTTAAGCTGATAAGTTTTGGTGTAATTTGTGACATAGCAATAGATAACTAATACAATAACCAATATATCAAGCCAGGCAACACAGTTAAATTTTGAAGAAATGTTCTAAGAACATAAAATTTAATTATGAAGAATTGTACATTTATCATTCAAAAGCATATTACATAGAAATAACACAATAATTACTCTTTAAACTTCTCCAAAATGTCTCTGGACCCAACCATTGTATTTAAGTGTAACAACTATAAAGAAAGAGGAAATACATTGGAAGATAAAGATTTTATAAACAAGTTTAACAAAACCCTAGCTAGACTCACCAACCCCTATTTCCTTGAGTATAAATTCAGAAGTCCTTGTTTCTGAACACAGAATCCCAAACAATCAATTCAAATGTTAGACACTGGCACAGGTGGCCACGGCAGACGCTTTATCCAGTCTTACTCAGCCCGGCCACCTATCTCTCCCTTCATGACACTCAACTTCTATATTACAAAGATACAAAGGTTTAAATTCAAAAGTAGGAAATAGTTCTCTTAAAATATATCCCTTTCAAGCAGAATTTTTTCTAATTTCTTCTTCTTAAAAGAAAAAAAGTACTTTTCAAACACAGTTAATTAAGAGGTATGAGGCTATTAGTTCAGATTTTAGAAAGGAACAAGCACCAGAGGAAAGTACAAAGATCCTTCTAAATGGAGGCACCTGGAGAATAGAGCCTGAAGATCTGGCCAAGCTGTTCTCACTGACCTATTATTTTTTTAGCTCTGTATTTATTCAAGGTAGAGATAAATTCATTTCCACTACAGAGAAAAACAAAAACTTAAAACTGCTTCATAGCATCCACATCTGCCTAAATTTACAGATTGCCGTGTTTGTAATGAAAACCATCTTGGAGATATTTATTTGGAGTGTTTATAAGTACATGTGTGTAATGCTTTCATTGGGGATAGGGAGAAAGTAGAAAGCAAAATGTTCAACACCTTATAAGGTGGATTATTTTCCCCATCAAGGGCTACAAACCAGTCTTATTCACCCAACCTCTCCAAATGAGAGTTTTTACTGATTCAAAAATTATTTGTGAAGTGCTTTCTATGTTTCAGGCTGAGAGTACATCAATGTACAAAACGGACACAGTCCTTCTGCTTACAGTGCTCACAGTGGAGCAAGAAATTCAGGCATTAAATAAACAAATACAAGCATGACGAGTTTTACAAAGGAAATAGACAGGGAATACGTAGCTGGGGCCGGGGGCAAGACAAGTTTCCCTGAAAAAAAATTACTTTTTTATGGAGACCTGAAGGATAAGTATCATTTATCCACTGTGAGTAGGGAAAAGGGACATGGAAGCATGTTCTTTAGAAGGAACAGCATGTGCAAAGATCTGTAAATGCAAGACAACAGGATGCCTTGCAGGAGATGAAGATGAACAACGGGAAGAGGTGGGGAGAAGGCTGGAGAAGTGAGCATGGACCTGACAGAGCTAAGAACTACAGACTTTGGCCTAAAGGCAACGAGAAGCTGTTGGTCAGTTTTAAGAGGAATGATATGATCATTTCTGTCTGAAAAGATCATCCTCGCGGCTCTGTGGACAATTAGAGGAAGGCAAGTAAGGTTGTGGGGATCCCAGTTAGGTGACCAAGGAAGTATTTCATGCAAGAAATGACTGAACTCAAGACACAGTAGTAGAAATGGAGCATGAACAATTTCAAGAGCTATTGAAGAGGTTAAATTCACATCCTCAAAAGACTTAGTAATGGAATAGAGGAGAGAAAAAAGAGAGGGGAATATACCAAGCATAACTTTTAGGTTCCTGGCTTAAGCCACTGTTGTGGATAGTATTCCATTCAGCAAGAGAGGGAACTCTGGGAGAAGAGTTTAGATCACAAGCGCAGTGTTGGACATACTGAGCTTTAGGTGCCTGTGAATCAGGCAAATGATGATGCCCAATAGGCATTTGAATATAAGGTCTGGAACTGAAGAGAGGATGGTTTGAACATACAATATTGGGAGTCATTAGCAAATCAATTGTTATTGAAGAAATGAAGGTAAATGAGATAGCCTGGAGAGGGTATAAAACGAGAGGAGAAAGAGTCTAAACAGACAGAGGCCTGAATAATACAACGTTGAAGAGGAGGAGGATGTGGCTAAAGAGACTTAGAAGGGACAGCCAGAGAAACAGCCATTTTTCTCTGTACACCCTGCTCCCTACCTGTACCCCACTGACTTCATATACGCTAAGCTGAGACATTGTGTTCATTACAATTAAGAAATCTGTAACTACAGAAATAAGCCTCATCATTCTACACTGTGAATGGCTGTATAGCACTTTACATAATTAATTCACCGAATCCTCGTATCAACACTATCAGAAAGGAGGGACAGAGATTAGCTCCATATACAAATGATGGGTGTGACTAAGGTCACTCTAGTTTGTAAAGCCAGAATTCAGGTCCAAGTCAGATCCTGACTTGGTCTCCAATTCATGTCTCTTCTCGTTGGACCGTGTCAATCGAGCCAGAAACACCAAGATGCAATCTGCAGTTGTTCTGGAAGTCTGCCCCAAGGTTAGTGTCCCACACATTGTGATAGCAGAAACCTGGGTCTGATTCTGATTTCAGTAATAAGGAGCTCTGTTCTAACTAGATAACTGGAGAGCATGCCAGTTTTAAATGCCACAAATTGGATAAAGGGTAGAGGGAAAATACCACATGAGTATACATTAACTTTATTGACGACCTCAAAAATAACTTTTCGCATTATAATCCAGAATTGTCCTGGTTTTAAAAAAGAAAGGAGGGGGGGGACAGTGCAACCCCCAGTATTCACACCACTGTGTTATTTAAAGCCAAAGTCAAAATAATCAAAAGATGAATCTCAAACGGAAGTATTGTTAAACAATTTGTAAAGTTACAGTATCAGCCACATATTTTTCTTCTTTTTCTGATGTTACCTAAATTCTGAAGCATGATTCAGGAAGAAAACCTAGAAAGATAGAGATTCTCCACAAACATCCAGATAATCTTTTTGGTTCTTATCTGAAGTTTTCAAATCGCATTAAGGGGTCAAGAAAGAGATACCCAACTTCTGAAAAAATGCCACTGGAGTCTTCAAACAAGCATTTCAGATGTGGGCATATGCCAGCCTCCAAGGTAAAGCCCTACCCATTAGAGAGACCACTATTACCTTTCGAACAAAGTTGACGTGGCACTCTCCCTTCTGCACTGGCGGAGGGCAGCTTGGGGGCACCTGGTGGCGAGCGTGAGCTCTGCTCTTCTGGGCTGCGTACAGCACGGCTGACTGGAAGCGCAGCTCAATGGAGTTCACATCTCTGACCACTTTGGTAATATCAAAGCTCTGAGTTGAAGGGAAAAAACAGACAAACCCATGATGTGGAAGTAGCCTTCTGTGTAAAGTTTCAGATAAAGGCAGAATGTATGAAAGATGCATAAAATCATTCAAATCTAGGTTCAGCCTCCTTGCTGAGGTAAGCACCTCTCCAAAATCATATAACTTCATTGCTGACTTTTAGTTATAACTAAGTGTATTCCTGTACGCAAACATAGATTTCTAGGTTCCTCCTTCTATTTTTACTGACAGAATGATGGTCCTAGGGAAACAAAGCAGAAAATATCTTTAGCCCTGGAATGTCTGCTCTGGCTATTTACATACGGCCTTGAACTGCCAAGGATTTCCTAGACACTTTATGACAATCTGACTCTCTGGTATGAAGAGCATGTATTTCTAAGTCATAAGTTATTTTTGTCTTGAAAAATCTACCCTTGAAAGGGAAGGGAGATCAGGATACAATCTCCTAATGTAATCATTCCGAAAGAAAAGAACATTTTCTTTTAAAATCATTTGTCAATTGTCATTTCCCATGAAACTCTGGATCACCAAACAAGAGAGAAGGGAATAACATTTGTTGAACAATTCCTGAACTTGCCAACCATTTCATATAATTATCTTATTAAATTAAATCCCCACAATGACCCCATGGGGTTTGCAGTGTTTCCATCATTCTACAAATGTGACAACTGAGAAATAAAGCAAATCATCTAGTGCTTCAAAGAGCTTGTACTTGTCAAATGGCCAATTTACTTTTCTCTATTCACAAAACCAATGAACATAAACACATAAATGGGTTTTTTTAACCTGATGTCATTATATACTTACATATCTATTGAACATGTTGTCTGTTTTCCCAATGGTGACTTTATTGAACAGGATTTTTGTAACTGTATCTATTCCCTCAAAAATCAAATTTAATTTTTGCCATTTGCTAAAAAAAAAGAAAAGATTTTTTTAAAGACATATAAACCATTAACTTAGATAAGTCTTTTTTTTATATAAGTTAAGAACTAAAGGAATAAGTATTTCACAGAAAAATATAATTCTTAAAAGGCAGATTCCAATGAAATTTTCAGAAGTATTTGTTTAATACATGTGTGTTCTTTGAGCGATCCAGCTTATCTTTCTCTATAATGTATCAATCACTGTAAAATAGAGAGCATAACTTAGAATTTCCAAATGCATTGTGCTTTTTTCTAGTTACTTTGCAAAAGTTCTCATGAGAACAAAGTTAAATAATAGATACAAAATGTCTTCACAAACTAACACTAAAAGAACACATTAACCAACTAATTAGTGCCTATGAGTGAATACTATGTACCCAGCACTCTGCTAAGCCTTACAGGAAACTAAAACAGTCTCTGAATTTAAAGTGTCTGTAGGCTGGTTGGCAATGAAGCCTAAAATACAGGAAACAGAAAACCTCCAATCTGCTCTACTCTGTCGTACAACAGCACTTATTGGACAACTACAAGTGCTATTAAAGTTTATCTAACAAGGAAAGACTTCAAGAAGAAAACAAGAACTTAAAGAAAAGGAGAATAAATAAAATGTGGTATATCCATACAATAGAATATTATTCAGCAATAAAAAGAAATAAAGTACTGATACATGCTATAATATGTGGATGCACCAAGTGAAAGAAGCCAGTCACAAAGGACCACATACTGTATCGTTCAGTTTATATGAGGTTTCCAGAACAGGCAAATCCACAGAAGCAGAGAGGAAGTTAGTGCTTGCCTAGAGCTGAGATAGAGATGGGGGGTGGGAGTGGATGGAGAATGGAGAATGACTGCTAATACATATGGCTTTTGCGGGGGTGAGGAAAATGTTCTAAACTTGATTTTGGTGAGGGTTGCACAACTCTGTAAATATACTAAAATCTATTGAATTGTACACTTAAAATGAGTGGATTATATTGTACATGAATTCCATCTCAATAAAGTTGCTATTAAAAAATAAAATAAAATAAAGATGAGTAGAAATGCCTGGTTAGAGGGTAGACTCCCAGAGAAAGAGCAAAACCAAAGCAATAAAGTGCTAGCAGCATCAATTACTTTAAGGTAAAAGACTTGATTCAGATGCATAATTTGGGCTGGGGAGCTGAGTGGGAGAATCCTGGACAGGTTAGAGGGGTGGGAGGGGTGCAGGCCATGTTACAGGGACAGTCAACATTCAGCAGAATTTTCACAGAGAAGCAGAGAGGTGCATATTTGATTTGCCAAGCAAAAGAAAGACACTTAATAATCTTGAGCAAAAACATGTCATCGCAAAATTAGAATTTTGGGAAGATGAATTTAATGTTTACACATAGGAAAATTAAAGAATAAAATGACAAAGCAAGAAATGTACTTAGGCAGCTTTGGCCTTTTTCCAGGCACTCACCTTCCAGGCAAAGGTGGAAAATTGGAAATGAGGAAGAAGGGGCTGAACTAAGAGAAATGTTAGGCAAAAATTAATAAGACTCAGAAACAAACTGAACACCAGGAGATGAAGAAAATGTATGATGAGCCAAAAACAACTCAGGTATAAAAGATTGGAAAATGTTGTAACATTAAGAGAAACAATGCGGCTATTAGAATATAAAGTTAGTTTTAAGAAGAAAGGTCAATTGGCTAAGTTTTGGATATGTTGAGTTCAAGGTAAAATAGAACTACTATGGGAGATATTTATAAGTAAAAGGCTGGAACACAGTAACACAATGATATTGAGCACAATATTCTACCTTTATTTTTCCTTTAAGAGACTTGTAAATAATTACAAAAAAAAAAATCATAGAAAAGGAACAGAACAATTTCTTTCCATTTAGCAACAGAGTGGTATATATACTTGGGTTACATTCTGTTTCATATGGAAATATGTGCGTATAATAACAGAACATTACTGAAAACAATACCTGTGCTTTTCCTTATGGTCTCGTGACATGGTATAAGGCCAAGGTCACAGTCTCAATGGCTGGTTTAGCACCACACAGAACAAATGATGTATCTCTCATCCTATTTAATGATATTATAATATGTACAGTCTGTTGATTACTGGGGGGCAGGGAAGAGAAAATCTACATAAGAAAATTGACTAGGTTTAGGTGACTCCATTACAACCATTGGAAAAAATGACTCCATAAGATACAATTTTATGACTGGTCAATGGCACTATCCTCATATACAAAACAGAACATAGTTATATGTTCACTATCATAGCACAAAGCTTTAATCTGTCTTAACTCTGATATGCGATCTAAACAAAGCAAAAGATTATTGCTGAGACAGAAAAAGAAGAAAAGCTCAAATAATAATATATATACACACACAAACATACAAACCTAATGTCAAAGGGGATTTTAAATTCCTTGCTGTAGGTCCAGTTATCCAAGGAGATCCATCTGTAGTTAAGGTCATTAAATCTGTAGTACGGTTCCTGTTGGTGCAAGATAAAAACTATTGTAGATGGTTAAATACGCAAAAATTAATCAATAAAGCAAGCATGGAATAAAGTATTAACAACAGCTATTTATCCCCTAAAAATTAATGAACTCTTGGACTAGGAGCACAAAGAGGTCATATCATTAACACTAAAAAAATATGAGGGGAAAATTCCAATAAATTACCTGAAATGGAAGAGTTCTGAAATATAAATAATACAGTTTCATTATCAAAGAACATGTGTGGTGATGAAGATTGGTTTCCCTTGTTGAAGCTAATCACAGAACTTCTAAGATATTAGCAGAGCATGAAAGACAGAACTTGTGTTCCTCTCATCACCTGCAGTCCTTCCTCTGCTTACCGCTGCCACCATCCCAGCTGTCCTCCTGGGGGGAGACTTCTCCTCCACTGCCCACAGGTCAGCAAAACTCCCACTCCTTGGACTCATTTAGTGTGTCCAAAGTTATTTTTCACTTAGCCGTACTGAGCACAAAAAGATCTCTACAGAGAATACACGGGCAGCACAGATACTGTCAAATTTCAGGTTTCGTATATTATCCTAGCTCAAGTCAGCAAACTGAAACCCACAGGCCAAATGCAGCTCCCTGCCTGTTTATGTGTGGCCAGCAAGCTAAGAATGGACATGTGCCCATAAATAAAGTATTATGAGAGCATGGCCATGCGCAGCCCTTTATATATCACATACAGCTGCTTTCATGCTACAGTGGCAGAGTTGAATATACGGGACAGAGACCATATGGCCCACAAAGCCCGCAGTATTTAGTATCTAGCCCTTTACTGAAAACATTTGCCCACCCCTGCCCTAGATGACTGGCCTCCTAAGTGTTCACAGATGTTGTCTGATCTGAGTGCTCAGCCCCAAGTCCTCCATCTTATAATCCTTAGGTCTTTCTTCTCCTACCCATTCTCTATCCTTTACCTCTCAGAGGAGAGCTCCAAAACAGGAGGCAGAACAGAAAGCAGTAAGTGAAACTTTTCAGTTTATCTGTCTGTGAACAATATATGGAAGGAACTGTACAGGCATCGAGGGGCACCCCCGCTCCGAAGGGTACAGGGACAAGGGTTACAACTCCAGATAGAGTTGTTACAACTCTACAACTACAACTCCAGGGAGAGAAGTTATAGCCAACTTCATCTAGGTTCCACAGAGGTAACAGGCAGGTGACCCAGTTAGGCTGGCAGTGGCCAGCTGAGTGTTTGCCCAGGGCACGAATCTATAAGAGGCACTACAACATCACTGGGAGGGCACCAAGATCAAGATAAGTCCAGTTGGTTCTCCATGTCTGCGGGTTCTGCGTATGTGGCTTCAACAGCAGATCAAACATATTTGGAGGAAAAAAACCAATAAAAACTAACAATACAACAACAAAAAATACAAACAGAAAAAACAATACAGTTTAACAGCTATTTACATAGCATTTACATTGTATTAGGTATAAGTAATTAGAGATGATTTAAAGTATACAGGAGGACATGAATAGGTTATATGCAACTACTATGCCATTTTATATTAGGGAATTAAGCATCCTCAGATTTTGGTATACACAAGTGTTCCTGGAACCAAGACCACTTGGATAACAAGGGATGACCGCACAAAGGATCTTGAAAGAGTTCATGGAAAAATTTGTATTATCTTTTAATTCCATTTTCCCACAAACATTTTGAAGTGTCTTCATATCTGCCAGAAACTGCTCCTCACTGGAAGACATATTCTGATAAACTACTAGGGGAGAGAAATGATTGACGAGATTTAACAAAAACAGATAATCACCAAACTGATGTTTAAGTTCTGGTCAATGGTAAGGTTTCGTTCTGTTAAATGGCATGGACCAGGCCCAGACAACTTGCTTCCTTTTCTGCTCACACAGAACGCAGTCTCTCCAATGAATAAACCTGGAACAACACTGACGGACACAGGTTTGAATAGACACCTAATTATTAGGTAACCAACACTCCCCACCCAGCCCTATTTATAACTCTACACTGAGGACCTAGTCCAATACAGTTAAAAATATCATGAGAAAAAATGTGTGAAGACAACTCAGCCACCACATGGCAAAATGCTAAGGCATTTTGGGCTGGTTGATGACCTGGCTGGTGGGACACGAATCCCTTTCCTGTCTCCCAGCTCCTTAAAGGAAGCTGCATGTTGAGTTTGAGAGGGTAATCTTCCCAGATATATCATTCCTACATAAACAGAATTTACAGGTTTAAAATTTTCACTTGAAAGAAGCCAATCCGAAGCAACTACATACTGTATGATTCCAAATATATGATATTCTGGATGTCAGACAAAAGTTACGGGAGGCCATTTATTTGGACTAAGCCTCTGCTCTAGGCCCCAACAGACCAGACCAGACCAAAATGGAGTCTCTCATGCCAAATGTCACATAATCAAACTGAAACTTTAAGGAAGCAGGTAGATTCCCAAATAGGCCAGATTTTCCTTTAAACAGGAGATTTCGGTCCACTTGAGTCAGCAATAATGAAGTCCCCTCTGCTTTAACCCTTACCAGAAAAGTAACCTGAGGTAATCTGATGTTAACCAATCATTGTTTTCCTCTACTGCTCTGTTTCCTTGTTCCCACGTTACAAATCCCACTGCTCTGCCACTGCCCAGTGAAGCCCTCATTCTATTTTGTAGAATGAAGGCTGCCTCATTCTAGGCTGCCCTGATTCATGAATCATGAACAAAAGCCAATCAGATCTTTAACTCATTTTGTTGTAATCTTATCTTTTGTCATGGGAAAGGAAAAACTGGGGAGACAATAAAAGGATCAGTGGTTACCAGAGGTTAAGGGGAAGGGAGGGATGAACAGGGGGAGTATGGAGGATTGTTAGGGTAGTGAAACTATTCTGCATGATACTATAATGGTGGGTACAAGTCATTATACATTTGTTCAAACACAAGAATGTACAACCAAGAGCAAATCCTAATGCAAAGTGTGGACTTTGGGTGATAATGATGTGTTCGTGTTGGTTCATTGATTGTAACAAATGTACCACTCTGGTGGGGGATGTTGATAATGGTGAGGGTGTGCATGTGTGGGGGAAGGAGACACAACTACCTCAAATGGAGTTCAATGGAGAAAGCCTGTATAACTGTTGCATCTACAGGCATCATTTTCATGGACACTTAGGCAAAAATAAATAAATGTTAAGAAAACATTTATTTGAAAACAAGTAAAATTAAACAATATATTGATTAAGATACATAGATATTTGGGAAAACTTTAATTTGTAAAAGGCAAGAAAATGATCATTCAGAATAGTGGTTACTTTCAGGGAAGGCAGGCAAAGGGATTGGGGAGGGGCAGGTAACTACAGAGGTATTGGTGATATGCAGGCTCATAAACTGGATAGCAAATGCACTGGTATTCATTTAATTATTAGACTTTCCAATTCATAAATGTGTGGGTGCACATAACTTTCCATGTATCAAGTACTATATAATAAAAAATAAATAAAAGAAAATGTTCATGACATGTTAAGCTACCCTAAACTACACAGAGGTATTTATGTGTTCCATTCAGAAAGAGCTGTACTCTCCAAACCTCACTTTCTCCATTGGCAAATATGATCTTCACCTATGATTCTTACTTCAAAGACTGCGTAGGTATAAGAGATTCCCAGCCTGTGAATCAGTCAAAACATTCTGGTCAACCTTAACACCATTTTTCCCTAAAATCCTTCAGTTGGTAGATACTGCTTCCCATCTCACACAGCTCTAGGTGAAATGGAGATACAATTTAAAGAGACTCTTTATTTTCTGACTAAAGAGACTACAACTTAAATGGGAAAACCAGACAATTTGCTTAGCCCACTCCTAAGTGTCAGGCATTATGCAAGATGTTTCAGGAAGACACCTCATTTCAATATAGCTGTGGGGTTCCTAGGACTAGAACTCATGAAAGGTTAGGATAAATGCCTGGAGACAGATTCCATGCTGATAGGAAGGGTCAGAGCAGGAGGGGACCACATTTGCTCAGGGAGTGAGGTGGGGCAGTTAAATAGTTCCACAGAGGCAGCTGCTGACTCTGAGATGAAGCCGGGAGGTGGATGGAGCTGACAGGCAGGAGGCACAAGAGCCATCTTTTGGCAAGGGTTGGAGCCCCAGCTTAACCCTAATAACTGAGGGACCTTGTGAAGTTCATAAAATATCTCTGTACATCTGTTTTCTCAGTCCTAGAATGGAGATAATATTCATACCTACACGCTTCACAGGATCAGTATAAAGATACAAGAGACAATTATGAAAAGTGATTAGCACTGCTCTTGGAACACAGTGAGCATTCAATAAGTGATAGTTATCATTTCTATTACAGGTACTGATCTGAAATATTTTCTAAGACATATTAAGTTAAAGAAAAAAGTTAGTAAAAAACGATTCATGGAGAATGTTATCTGTGGGGGAGAAATATATAAATCTATGTATGATATACGTCTGTATGTTTATAACATCTACAGAAGAATACACAAGGAACTGGCTAACTGGTTGTTTCTCTGGAAGGGAAGTAGAAAACTAGGAGATAGGGACAGAAGGAGACTTGCTTTTCATTATGTATCCTGCCTTTAAAATTTTTTTAGCGGCCTGCAGAGAAGGCAAGACCCGGCACCACTGTGACCACCAGCGAGGCCCAGGCAGGCAAAAACCCCAGGCAGCTCCCCCCGACTCCACCCACACAGAAGACAGCAGGCTCCACAACTGAGGCCCCGCACCACTTCTGCAGAGGTGGTCCACAACAGCCACCAACATAGCATCTACCACTGCAAGGGTGGCTTGTCACCAGTAGAAGTCATGACCACTGTGCAGGTGGCCTGCTACATATTCAACTGCATTGATACAAGGAGAGTTACTAGAGTTTTCTGGGAAAAGAGAAAGAAGTCTTTCTTCTTAAAGTCCACTCCAGAGTAATAGAAAAAGCAACTGAACTACCAGATGACCAGAAATCAATGCAGAGGTACTAGAAATAT